CGTGTTTGGAGGAGGGGATCCAGATTGGACTGTGTTTGGAGGAGGGGATCCAGAAGAGCAGTGTTCACAGCTCGCTGTTGCCAGTGAGCGGTCTTCCAGAGTAAGATGGGGCAGACAGAGTACCTTTTACCATTCCGCTCTTCCTGTCCCCGTTCCTTTAAACAACAGGTGTTTATTACATCTGGAATCAAACTTCTCTCTTACAGAGGTTCTGTCGTTTATCTTCTGCTCTTGAACTTACTCAGATTTCCTAATTATAATTAGCATGTCATCTTTCTTTAAACACAGAGAAGTCTGGTGTCTCAGGTCAAGCTGCTGTAAAAGAAAGCCATAGGCTTTCTTAGGGAGGGAGGCTTATAGACAACAGGCACTTCCTCCCCTCAGTTCTGGAGGCTGGAGGTCTGACATAAGGATACCACCCTGGTTGTGTCTGGGTCCTCTCACTCTTCTCCTCATTGGTGGAAGGGCAAGAGAGCTCTCTGGGGTCTCTCTCCATGAACCTCATTCATGGGGCTTCTCCCTTATGATCTGGTTACTTCCCAAAGACCCCACCCCCAAATACCATCGTATTGGGGATTAGGTTTCAACGTATGAATCTGGGGGGGGGGGATAAACATTTGGTCCATAACACCTGGTCTTTAACCAACTTTAATAACTAAAAGAAGAATTCGTTGATGAGAAATCATCTGCTTTTTACTCACTCATATAAAATTGCCTTTAATACACAAACAGTCCTTTAAAATGAGCCTGTAGAGGGCTGTGTCTCTATCATGCTTGCTGGTAGAGGACAGGTGACAGATAAGATGATAGGTTATATCACAGATTCTCTGGAGAGAGAAAGAGGGAGAGAGACGGAGCAAGAGGAGGAGGAGAAGGGAGGGCAGGAGGGAGAATCGAAGAAGGACACTGTGGACATCCGACCGTCCCGTGCTGTTGATCTGCTTCGTTTCTGGACTAGCACGCGCGCCCGGAGGTCTCCCTGGGGTCCTGCCGAGCACCAGCTGAGACGGTCCGAGGCAGAATACCTAAGAAGAGCACTGTGCCCTAGAAGGGAGATGTTGTCAGGAAGAGAGAGTCCCCCCGGCAAGGAGCTGCTCAGCCCAGCGGGCAGCGGTGCTCCCAGGTAAGGTCACAGACGTGTGGCTGCCCACAGAGGGCTGGGTACAGGAGGCGCGGAAACGCACACCTCTGGGTTCCGCTGACACAACCGTTGGCAGGAAGACTACAGGCTGAAGAGCATTTCTTCACAAGCATCATTCATAGAAGGAGATCCCCCACTCCACTTGCAGAGCGCAAAGGTCAGGGGCATTTGGGGAAGATTTCTTGCGCTATTAGTGCTGAGCCATGACCATCAGCACTAAGAAAACTAAGGTGAAATATATGCTTTTCTGGTCATTAAAACGGATACAAATGTTCACAGTATAATCGATCTGCATCATAAATATAGTCATCTCATCAGGGATAATCTATGCCATTTTCTGACATGGCTAACAGGTGTATCATGTCATTTTTAAGACAATGAAAAGATGCATTAAAATCACTGGTCTGCTTTTTAAATTTAGTATTCCAACAGAAATGGAAACATATAATGTTTATACTAGGCTCCACGAACAACCAGGGGGACTGACACCACTTCAGTACTGCCAGAAAACAGGAAGATTACTCATATTGTTCCAAAGCTCAAAATTTATTGTTAGGTGCTCAGCGAAATCAGTCTGCCAGAGAAAGACACATACCATATGAGGTCACTCATATGTGGAATGTTAAGAAACAAAACAAATGAACAAATTAAAAAGAGAGAGACAAACCAAGCAACAGACTCTTAACTACAGAAAACACACCGAAGGTCACCAGAGAGGAGGTGGGGGGCGGAAATAGGGGAACGAAGTGATGGGGATGAAGGAGGGCACTTGTGATAAGCCCTGAGTAATGTAGAGAATTGTTAAATCACTACATCTGAAACTGATATAATACTGTGTGTTAACTAAACTGGATTTATGATAAAAAAATAAAAATAAAATAGAAGGGAAACAAAAAGACATAATTCGGTTTCAGTTCTTAGTAAGGTTCTGTCTCCAAGTGATGCCAGGTACTGTGCACATCAGTCAAGAGATCATGAAAAATGTGTAGAAGGGATAAAATCAGTAAGAACAAGAGGAATGGTATTATTTCATCTGCATTTTCAAAAGACTGGCATGATATAAAATTAGCTTGTATATTTATGTGCATTTATCATGAAATCTGAACATCTGCTCTTCACAGAAATTCAAAAACAAATTACAGTGTTGCTGTTGGAAACTCTTGCCTGTAAATCTATAAGAATTTGAGGGATAGGCAATTGTCCTGTAAGAGACAATTAAATACTTCTGCCTTGTAGCAAAGAAATACAGAAAATGACTTTAGTTTGGGGGTTCTATAAATATCGCTGAAATTTATTTTCAGAGCCCATATAACCATTGCATTTTCTCCTTGTAACAAATCGGTTATAAAAGTAAAACCTTAATTATGGTGTCTGGATCATTCAATCAACTGACAGGATCTCGGCATTTAGTCGGCCATTTCCTGACATGGGTTGGCTGGCCCTGTGGGGCGCTGCTGAAATGCCCCGGTGGACTGACTTCCCTCAGGTGCTACTTTGAGGGACAGAAGTGCTTCTGTGTTTAGGGAACATGCAAAGGATTTCTACAAGACCCAATCCACTGGCACACTGTGACTTCCTACACAGTATCTAGTGGGGTTCTGTCTACTTTTGCAGTATGTTTTGCAGGCACCAAAAGATACCAAGGAATAAGGTCTTCTGGTTTCACAGGTGCCACACCAGGGCTAAACTCTCAGAATTGCGAATAATCGTCGTGTTGGTGGGTGCTTCTGCAAGGGCAAGAGACCACACGCCAGCGCTGTCTTCCGTGAGGGACAAGGACAATTTATCCACCATTAATCCACCGCCAGAGTCAGAGCTCGGCCGAGCAGGGCTGCACTCCCCAGCACGTCTGTGGGCCGCGGATGCTTCCAGCAGCCGCAGCAGGCCCTCGGGTGGGGAGATGCAGGTCCGCAAGGTTGGAAGCTGTGCCCGGGGAGAGAGATTGTGCACACGGCTGCTGAGACGGCTAGAAAGAATACTCGATAAATGAGACATGGTACCTACGGTGGGAGCCTCGGTGTGTGCTACACTAACCTCATCACTGATTATACAGCACTTACTGGATGGCTGAGCCGGTGCTGGGGGTGCATCACAAGAGGAAAGGAACAACTTCATTCTTTTCTTCTCCTCCTGGCAACTCCCTGGTGGTCTGAATGAAAAATAATCTTCCTCTGTCCCATCTTTTCCCACTGTCCAAATTGAGGACACGTGACTTTCTGTATCCCACAGCATTTCTGTGACATAATTAAAAGGGTAGGTACCATGTCTCGTTTATCCAACTCTCAAAAATGTGTTTTGAACTAATGAGTGAGATGTGTTCATTTTCAATCACAGCTGTAACTAATTACCACAAATGTAGAGGCAAAAAAAAAAAAACCAAAAAAAAAAAACCTCACATTTTATCTCACAGTCTTGAAGGTCAGAAGGCCAACACAGGCCTCAGGGGCTGAAGGCAAGGTGTGAGCAGGGCTGCGTTCCCTCTGGAGGCTCTAGGGGAGGATCTGTGTCCTTGCGTTGCCAGCTTCCAGAGGCTGGCTGCATTCCTTGGTTCATGGACCCCCTTCCTCCATCATCAAAGCCAGCAGTGTTGCATGCCTCTGACCATTCTTCCCCAGGTCTCATCTCCTGACTACGGTTCCGCTGTGTTCCAGAGACTGCCAGGAGAGACGTGTGAATTCATGAATCCCGGGTTTTATGCAGTTCTACAAAGTCCATGATTCTCTTCTTCGGGCACAGGAGTGCCGATGACAGCACACGGGGGTTCCCTGCTTGGTTGAAAGGGAAGCAATGGCTTCCAAGTTCTCTTCCATTGCATACCTTGGATCCTCTCTTCCTTCATGCCGTTTTGGTGGAAGAGGAATGTGGAAAAAATTCCTCATTTGTAGTTTATAATTCTGTAGATAACCATTCATCAGATGATATCTTCCTGCCTACTCATTCAGATTCATCCTGGCCTGGTGCAACACTACTTCGTGGGTTGACGGGGAAAAGCAGGGACACGGCACATCTGAGATCATTTTAACACTTTGTAATGAAGCGGGTAATGTTCTCCTGAGTTCCAAGGATCCCCTCTTAGGGAAGAAGAGATCAGGGTAACAGCAGTAAAGTAGGAAAGCACTCCGGGTTCTAAGGGTGATTATACTGTATCTTCCTGACTCTGCCCCCAACAAACAGTACAAGAAGGCATTATCAATGTGTCACCATGCTGTTATCACTAGCATTAAAAAGAAAGCCAGACACACAGTTCATGATTAAATACACACAGACACACCGTAAGGTGAAGGTATGACATTTAGTGTAATATTTTTCATTCTGCAGGGAGTGATAATGTCGTGTTAAAAAATTAAATGAAATATGTTGCAGCCGCATATTAAATGTCAAGTAATATTATTTTAAAACATTAGTATGCATTAGAATAAAAATGTTAGATATTAAATACTTTGTAAGAGGAATTATAAATTGTGATGATGACAGGAAAGTTAGCAGTGGGTATCCTCCAATCGAACATTTAATTCAAAAGGTCATTAAGTAAAACTACTACCATTTATTCAATAATGCCTCCCATATGCACTTAAAACGACTTTATGTGTATTATTTACTACCTCTATGTCATACCTTTTCAAGCTAGCTTCCCCATATATGGATGTGAAAGCGGAGGCAGACAAGTTAAGAAGCATACTAACGGTCACACTAATAACCAACCCCTCCAGCTGTATGTGCATATGTATGTATGTGTGTATGTACGTATTTATTTATTAAACATTTTATCTATTTATTTACAGAGAGATGTAGCATGAGAGAGAGCCTGAGGATGAGCAAAGGGAGCAGCAGGGAAGAGGGAGAAGCAGACTCAATCCCAGGACCCTGGGATCATGACCTGAGCCAAAGGCAGACGCTTCACCAACTGAGCCACCCAGGCGCCCCCCTCCAGCTGTATTTAAAAGGACCCAAAGAGACTGAATCAGTTAATTATATTTTAATAGAAGCTAATGACGGCAAAGGACTATGAATCATAATAGAGATTCTTCCTTTTTAAAGAATAGGCCTCAGTTTTTAGAGGTGTATTAAATTCACTGCAAAACTCAGCAACAGGCACACAGAGTTGTCATATACGTCTAGCCCCCACACACCCACAACCCTCTTTATCAACAGCCTTCATCACCCAGAGTCCACAGGCTTCATTAGGGTTCACTCCTGGTGTTGGGCATTACTTGGGCGCTGACAAATGTATAAGGACATGTATCCACCATTAAAGTACAATAAAGAAACATCTGGGGAAGACGGTGGAGTAGGAGGATCCTAAGCACACCTCGTCCCACGGACACATCTAGATGACACCCACATCAGTGTAAGTAACCCAGAGAATGACCCAAAGACTGGCACCGCAGACTCTTCCAAAGCTTATCCTAGACAAGAAACCACACTGAGAATGGGAGGAATGGTGGAAACATGGTCTGGAACCAAGCCAAACGGCAAGACTGACCACAGGCGGGAGGGACTCCGCAAAAGCACAGAGAAAGGAGAGAGGGAGAGGAGCAGAACCCACACAGGCACTCCAAGCACAGAGGACCTGCTGGGAAAACAATCCCCCCTCAACAATTGGCCTTGAAAAACAGAGGGGATTAACACTGCAAGTTTTTACAGTCTGTGGGGCTTAACACCTAGAACTTAAAAAACGGAGGGCTCCATTGTGGAGAGCTGGAGGGCACAGGAAATTGAGTCCCCATCCTTAAGGAGACAGCATAACAAACGACCCTCCTGAGATACAGCACAGAAGCAGGACTTTGAAAAATGCCTGGGGTATACTGGAGGGAGATTTATTTACTCATCTCAGGGCTTGTGGCTGGAGGAGCAGGGATCTTTTAACCATTTCCCTCCTCCTACCCACCAGCCCATGTACACCAGCACCAGCAGGAACCAGCACAAACACTCTCCACCTCGCTTGCTAACAGCGTGCCCCACCACGAGGCTCTCCTGTGCACCTGCCCCATCCAGCCTATCCTCAGCAGAAATCCATCCAAAGCGGCTCCAGGTCCCTCCCACAGCAGACCAGGGGTGCTCAGCAGCAGCACCAAAATAATGGCATTGTGCAAGCAGCCACAAAAGGGGCCAGCACCACTCCAAAGTGACTCCTGCTCTGGGGAGAGGGGAAGATAACCACAGACACCAGCCCTACTGCAGCAATGACAGTGAACCGAGGGCAGACGTCTGGTCTGACGGCTTGACCTGCCCACCAATGTGAGCTTCTCAGGGGACAACAGAGGGAGAGTGCCCTGTAGTCTGGCGCTACCACCCGGCAAACACCTGACCTGACCCAACTCAAGCCCGAGGCAGCCCCAGACGGGTACACTAACAACACAGGGACCAAAACCTGCCCATAACAGGCTAAGACAGCCATGGCAGAAGACTGGACTGAAGGCAAACACAGATCAATGACAACAGTAGGGCGCGTACAAGATACCTAGGAGACATCCCTGAAGTGCCAGACTCGGGTGAACAGGGGGCACTGAACAGCAAGGGCACTGCAGGGACTTCCTCATAAGGCCACTACTTTTTTTTTTTTAATTTTTTATTGTTATGTTAATCACCATATATTACATCATTAGTTTTTGATGCAGTGTTCCATGATTCATTGTTTGTTCATAACACCCAGTGCACCATGCAAAACGTGCCCTCCTCAATACCCATCACCAGGCTAACCCATCCCCCCACCCCCCTACCCTCTAGAACCCTCAGTTTGTTTTTCAGAGTCCATCATCTCTCATGGTTCGTCTCCCCCTCTGACATACTCCCCTTTTCTTCCTCTCCTGTTATCTTCTTCTTTTTCTTTTTTCTTAAAATATGTTGCATTATTTGTTTCAGAAGTACAGATCTGTGATTCAACAGTCTTGCACAATTCACAGCGCTCACCGTAGCACATACCCTCCCCAATGTCTATCACCCAGCCATCCCATCCCTCCCACCCCCAACCACTCCAGTAACACTCAGTTTATTTCCTGAGATTAAGAATTCCTCATATCAGTGAGGTCATGTGATACATGTCTTTCTCTGATTGACTTATTTCACTCAGCATAACACCCTCCAGTTCCATCCACGTCGTTGCAAATGGCAAGATCTCATTCCTTTTGATGGCTGCATAATATTCCATTGTGTATATATACCACCTCTTCTTTATCCATTCATCTGTCGATGGGCATCTTGGCTCTTTCCACAGTTTGGCTATTGTGGACATTGCTGCTATAAACATTGGGGTACA